GGGGGGAGCCGCAGCCAGTGCTCAAAGGAGGGGTGTTAAAAACGTGTATTTGTGTAAACGTGCACCCATTGAAATCATTAGCGATGACGTGTTTGCATGCGAGGGGGGTGGGGAGCAGGTGGAGCCGGCTCCCCCCTCCCTGGCTGCTAGAGGAGGGGGGGTCTAACCATTAGGATTTCCCGATGAACCCAGGAGCACTGGTTAATGGTGTAAACGTGCACACACCAACACCCCCAGCTCCAAGAGCACACAGGGCTCCGGAAGGTGGTGCAGACCGTCCCCAGCTCCCAGAAATACAGCAGCTTTGAATGGCAAACTAAGACAAAGGCTTCACCCCTGGACAGGAAGGAGGGAAATCTTGGGGGGGGGGAGCAATCCTGCCCCCTCTTCACAGAATGGCAGATTCTCCTGGGGCGGGAGGGGCTCTCCAGAAGGCACCTTCCTCCCCTCTCCACCATGTGGCATGGAACTCAGAGCAGCAGGCCCCCGTAGGCCACAGCATGTGGAGGCTGATGGGTTTTCCATCCCAGCCAGCGGGGGCCCAGACCTGCAGGCGACTGTGGCACGTGCACAGTGGACAAGGGATGGGGAGGTCCGGGGGAAGGACACTTTGCCCCACATTCCTAGCAAATTCCTCAGCACGGGAAGGCAGCGCCGACTGGGGACCTCATCTGGTAGGGTCGGTCTGCAGCCAGAGAGAGGAGGGAAAACACTAAGGCAGGCCTGGGGCAGGGCCCATTTCCTGGCACCTGCTTACGAGGGGCCTACCCAGCCTAAACGGCTCCCACATCCAACCTTGGTGAATTCGAGACAAGCCCTTTTCCCGGCACACGGTGAGCAGGGACGGCTCTCGGACGCTTCGCGGCAGGGACAATGTGTCTGCGCCCAAGGATTAGCCTCCGCCCAGCCCACAACCACGGCCAGCCCCAAGGGAAACCAGCCCTGCTCTGGGAATTACGCAACTCTGAAGCGGCGACCTCTTGGCTCTCACAAAGCCAGCACATCTGAACAGCCGGGGAGAGCCCTGAGGGGTTCCACTGGGCAGTCCTGTGGCAGGGAGAAAGCCAGCCCCCCGCCACACCCTGCGTGCAATGGCTTCTGAGCCGCTTAGCGACGTGAAGGCGCAGGGGAGGGGGAAATCACACATTCACCATGCATCTGCCGTACTCCCCATCGCCAGCTTCACGCCCAGCCCCACCGCTCCTTCCAGATTTCCAGCAGCCGCCAACAGCACAGGCTGCTGCATTGCAGCGCGCCGGTGTCCGGACCACTCAGCCAGCTGTGGGTTACATTGTGAACAGAATCCTAATGGGCAGCCTAGTTCAAAACCTCAGAGCCACCCCCCCACCCTGCTCCGGGAAATAAATCCACAGCTTCTGCTCCCCTCTCGTATTTAAATAAGGCTCCAGAGTAAAACCGTTTCCATCTCGGCCCTGCGGGATCCTGTGTTCTGCAGCGCCACACTCCGGAGAGCAGGTCCCAGGCCAAGGTAACCGCTGAGCCGGTCCAAGGCCGTGTGATCTTAGGACGAGACAGGGGCAGAGAGCACATCTCTGCTGAAGGAAACAGGACAAATGCACCAACGACTGTTAGATCTGAGCTTGGACCAACCAGACTGTTCCCTTCAAGAGCAGCACAAGGAGCTGAAGAAACATACCAGGAAATATTGGCTCATAGGATCCAGCGGTAATAGCAAGACACCTCATTTGCAATGCAGTGCAGTCGAAACAAGTCACCACCAGAGCTATGGTCCTTGAGATGCAAGCGACCGGGAGCAAAACCAAACGCTGTCAGCAGCATTAGCAAAACCCAAGGCAGGAATCCCACTGGAACAGGCATGTGCTATTTCACTTCGGCTTAAGGAAGGAGAAGCAGCTTCTTTGCTCTTTTGCCTCCAAATAAGCCTCTGGCTTGTTGGTTAGAAACACCAGGCGATGCATTGGCCCAAGTATTTTATCTTGACTAATTAGCAATCACCCGTGTACACATTCCACCCATTTCTGGGTCCACATCCCTTAGGGAACCCATGCAAGGCAGCCACCCTGCACTAGGGAGTTTCTAGTGTCCAAAGCTACGGACAAGCCATGTGAGCAGAGCGTCCCACGGCTACTGCGGCCGCAGCGTCTGACTCCCCGTCTGGTAAAGCACTCGGACACCAGCCAGTAGGGCACTAAAAAGCCAGATGACGTCTGTGCCCAAAGTTCCTCGCCAGGAATCGGGTCCCACTATGCCAGGCCCCGCGGGAACACGCCGGCAGATAGTCCTGAGCTCTCACTGAGGAAGGGGCGCACTTGAAAGAGGTGGAACAACGGTAGCAGGGGCGGGGACAGAGATCAGGAGCAGGAGAACCCGAGCGGGAGGTCCCAGAGGCCAGCCCCTTGCACCGCTGGGTTCGAGCTAGTGTCGTTACGACCAGCTCTGGTCGGCTGGTTTCCTACCGGCATCAGGCCATAGCACGTCTGTGAATTTCCAACCCCTCCCCCCTCTAACCTGCAACTTGTCCTGTGCAGTGTCAGCTTCAAACGCGAGGGGAGGATCCCAACAGAAAAGTGTCTGGGGAAGGCCTGAGTAACACCCCTTCCCCAACTACTGCACCAACAGCCCCGAGTCCCGTTTGGTGGCTCCGCCTACTGGCTCCCCCCTTCCCTGCCTGCTCTCTAGGAGGGCCACAGCGCTGCAAGTCAGCCAGCTACTAGGGAGGTGAAGGACTAGTCGACTATCCGCTGAGCAAATGCTAATCAGACAGTCGACAGGATAGTCAACTAGTTGCTCCCCCCCCCCCCCTCCCCCCCTCT